GAATCGAAATAGATTCTCTCGGTAACAGCGTCAACCATGAGGTTCCAGTGGAGCCAATTTTAGCTTACCGAAATATATCCGCCGTTGTCTTCTGGCGAAATCAGGCTTAGAATCTCTTCATCGCACACTTTGCTCTAACAGGAAGTGAGCTAAACAATGAGTTAATGTGTATAATGAGAGCCGATCAGTAAATGGAGAGAGCTGAAGCAGGCTCTATTATCTCAATTGATACCTCTTTCGAGTACATCCTTAAAACGAGACCGACTAGTGTTTCTCAGGTGGAGGCCGAGGCTTATGAGAACAATCTTGAGTGGCTATGACTCTTGCAAATAGACACCAGACCACATATTAATAATGCAAAATCGTGCCACTGGTCATTTGGGTAGCGAAGCAGACTCCTCAACTACATTGGCATCAACTTGCCTCATCTGGAAGTCTTAAGAGAGAAGATGGAAGTGGCCAACCAAATCACGGAGGGCTAGATTGGACTACAAGAAGTGGTCAGGATTTCGGCTGGCCACGCTCCTTGCTTGAGCGTGTGGGAAGCATTAAAATGATGCTTTATGGCTCTGAAGAGAAGCGTTGTGACAGGACAGACAGAAGCTCAGCTCGCACTCATCGGCCTCGCAAGACGGCGCGCCCAGGAGTTGTCCGTACCAGCCACGAAGTACTCTTTTGGTCTTCGGTCAGGCCAACCTACTCTCACCCCTTGAAAGCAGCTTTTCCTTTGTAGCGAAATGTGCGGTGATAAGCCAAAACGCTCAAGGGCCTACATAGTCAAGGTACCGCTTGTTGACGGCCCAATTTAAAGGCTCATCGAGTTTCGTCTAGGACCTATCCAACATGAGGTCTGCTGCTGTTCAGCTGCACCAAGACGAACAGTTCTCGCGTCGTCGGGGTTGTAGGAGCGGAGTGTCATTGTCTCTTGTCGATTGGCGGAATGCTCTTTCTTGCCCAGCCGGAAGAAATTCCCGCCTGGTTCCACATCTCTCCGGAGAGCTGCATAGATGTAGCTTTCAAGACCTTGCTCGATTCGGCCGCGGTACCGGTTCATCACCCGGACCTGGTTGTATCGACCACCAATATATCAGCGGAGCCTCAGACCCTACGTAGGCAGTCGACTGAATCGTCATCTCCGAGGCTTTTTGTTTGTGGGCAATTTGAGCCGTTGCTTTTTCATTCATCATCTGATTCTAGCGTCC